TCTGAGTACAGCTGCCTTTAAACCTGCAAATTTATCCCCATGTTGAACTTCATGCATTGTGAAAACTCCCTGTGAATTCATAAATCTTTGAGGACTGTGACTTAAGTGAGGTAAATTATAGAAGTCAAAATTAAAGTGTAAGGCATATATTTTAAACAAACATTAAGGCTACTGAAGTCTGTCCTTTGAAAGCTTTCTTCTTCAGTTTCCAAGTCACTTTTATTTGAATGTTGAAGGGATTTTCATTTTGTGTTATATTTTACAATGAGTAGGGAGTTATGTTTTGAAAGTAACTTTAAAATGAAGAGTGAATTATCACCAAAATGCAAAAGAAAGGAGAAAAAAAGTTTAGGTGAAAATTAACTATCCTTTTAAATGAAAAATTAAAACCCAGTGCTGGTGAAGAAAATGTAGGACCAGGTAAGGATTTCCACAGTTAATACATAGGCTTAATTGATTTAAGTTTCCCTTTCATTTTATACAGCATGAGGTCCACAGAGGACATAATATCAGGAAACTGGCTTTGTCAGTGAAGCTAACTTAAAATGTTCCCTCTTCTCCCTTCTCTGGCGCCTTGTACCTGGCTTCACACCTCTCCTTGGGCAACTCCTGTTGCCAGAACAAGAGTTTGCAGGACTAAGCCTCACACTGGCCAAAAAATAACACTCCCCCAGAAGGAGAAAATCGTTTCTGATTCCTGGCAGTGGCATCACCGAGGAGGCCATGACAGCGAAGAGGAGCAAGTGGGAGACTGAAATGGTGAAATGGCATTGGCAGCTTCTTAACTCCAACAGCAAAACCAAGATCTCATGGGGCTGCTGCTGACATGCCAATAGAAATACCAGGGAAAGGTCTGTGGGAACAGACAGAGCCTCTAGGCTGATATCACTATGCAGTGTAGAATTTGAAAAAATAGATGGTTGAAATGAAAAGGGCTGCTCATTGACACAAATAATCTTCCAGGTATTGTTTTTTTAAACAAAATATTGCCATCAAAATATAGTAAAAGATTGAATGTTATGGGACATTGCTGGATTTTGATGTGAGGCAAAGTGTTTTAGCTTTGTATTACAGTTTGGCTTGCAAGGGCATCCTCTGTCCTTTTCTAGATCTTGCTAATTTAACAGGGCTCTTCTGTATGATGCATTTACCTTCTGTGATCTGATTTTAAGTAAGCCAAATATCAGGGCAGCTGTGACACAGCAGTTTGGTAAAGCTCCTCAGTGTAACTGTGAAGTACTTCTAGTGAATTTATTCCTTTGTATTCCTAATCAATGCAAATATTTTTTCCTCTGAAATGTGTAAGCTTTTAGGGGCTTTCTGGTCATAACAGAAACACTGAATAAAGAGTGTCTACAGAGAGCTGTTATCTGCGGCTAAAACATGGGATTCATCCATCCATTTTGCATGCCTATATCTAAGCTGATCACCTAAGCTTCCTTTAATAGTTGACTGAAAGAAGTAAGCACCTTCAGGATGAACCTTCATGTTCATCTCATCATGAATCAGACAGATAAAGTGGCAAAGAGGAGTGGTATCTTAGCACTGACTAAGAAGGCATGGTTAGTTTGGAGGCTGAAGCCTGTGCTGAAGATATCTTGGACTGGTGTGATGAATCCCATGCAGCCAGGCAATGCTTTTTCATGCAATGCCAGTTTTTGAGATTTTCAGCTGTGCAATCATGCATGTTTTGAAAGCTATTTACCCGTTTGACTAGCAAAGTGAAGTCCAGGGGACGGATCTTTAACTGCTGTGAATTAGTGCAGCTCTTCTTCTGAAACTGCATGGAAGCTCTGATGACCAACTTCTCACATTTAAGGCTTGTGTTCTTACTGTAAACAGTCATCATCAGAAAAAAAGATGTTGTTAGGCAATGGTGAATAGGCAATTTGCCCTTGGCTCAAGTAGCCCTGAAATGGAAAAAGCATGAAAATTTATACAAAGAATAGAAAAACAGCACATGATTTCCCAACAGCATTTGAAAACTTTTTCTGCTGCTTTGATCATTGTTGCTCCCTCCTCTCACAAGCCCAGACTGGAGCCGTTATTTCAGCTAGGTGTAAAGCACAAGGAGAAATTATGAGATGAAGGCATACACCACAGGAGGAAGTCCCAGTTCAGAAGACAGCTAAAGTACTAAAGGTGGTAGGACATTAATGGCATGCAAATGCACACTTCTGAACAAGGGCGTTGCCCCAGATCAGATCCTAAGTACTTGGCAAGAGGCTTTGTAGAGTTCCCTAGGACACTGCCAGATGTACTCGAACCCTGCCTACAGTTCCCTTCCTGAACAAGTCCTTGATTTCCTCCAGGGGAGAAAGGCTAAATCTACACTCATGTTGGGGTCTGAAATTCATCTTACTGAGGATGAATGTGATGTCACCAAAATAGTTTTCCCTTGCACTTCAATTTTGACAAGGTTGGGATAGAAACCTCTGCAGCTGGACTATTCTTGACCTAGATGGAATCATGCTAGTGCAAGAAATGGTGGAGATCATGCAAAGGTGGACATGTGTGCAGTAGAGAAAGAAAGGCCCTGTCTTGGTGTTCACTCACCTCTGCTGGAAGAAAACATATAGATATATTTTCATACTGTTGAAAGGGCAATACCAAATGGGTGAAGTTACTGAGTTTTAAATAAGAGCCAGTTACCTTAGCCAGTTACCTTATCAAGCATTTCAAGCATTTTGTAAGTCATTTTCCTCTCACCACTATAATAACATAGGACAGAAACACTGTATGATTTTTTTAATGATGGAATTTTACACTGGAAAGATGTAAAATTATATTTAAATATCAACCTTCTCCCTGCATCCCACAACAGTTTCCAACATGTTTGCACACTACGTTTTACAGGACAACAGCTAATATCTACACTTAACACCTAAATCTGATATAGTTGTGTGACATCTCTGAGAAAAACAAAAGCATTACCATCTTTATCAAAATGCTGAGAAATCAGAGGTCATAAGTTCTTTTATACCAGGAACTAGTTTGGGATTTGAGATACCTGATTTGAGATGAACTATTTTCATTCACACTTTATATGTTATTTTTCCAAGCAACTGACTTTATATACCCTTTCTCAACCTTTTCTTTTTCTACACTGCTAACATCCCAAAATGATGCAGCTCTCTAAGATTGTGGCTTCCTTTGAAAAATCCTGGGGCTAAGAATCTTGCCAAGATATTACTTGTCTGATGAAATCTGGAGCTATAGTGCCTTTTCACAGAACCCTTGGAACAACATTAAGGTCAAGCTCCTAGACTGACTATCTAAAGCACCCAGGACCACATTGTGCCCCAGCACCCATACTACCATAGTGTGTTTATGCAATCTGGCTTCCTATGGTGTGTGCAGGCATCGCTCTGCATAGCCAAGCCACCTCTGCCAAGTTTGATCAGTCTTCTGTCCAGATACTGTCCAGATGCGTGCCAGACAGTGCAAAAAGGGAAAACGGTTTTATGCTCTGTTGCCTCATCATATTTTAAAAGACAAGACAAGACAGGTTATGTCTTCTTGCAGCGCCCTTCAAGCATTTGACCCAACCCAAGGCCTGTCACTGCTGCTTGTCATTTCAGGCCAAGGATAGTTTATAAGTAAGGAAGTTCAATCAACAGCATGATGAGGCGAAGATATGCCCCAAAAAGATCCTGTTGATAGATGTATGCAAGGAAATATGGACTAACAATTGCAAAGAATGATCTAAGATATATCCTTACCAAGCTGTCTTGTCCACAGCTCTCTTCTGTCCACCCCAGAGACAGTAGCATGGACTGATCAAGTGATCAGTTCTCTAGACTCCCCTGGACTCTGAGGAGCCTAGCCACACAAGGAATCTTTAGGGTTGGGTTTAGGGCCCTTGACTTTGGTCCAATGTACCAGAAGAAGTCCCATAACTTAAAAAGTGCCCTTGATCTGTACCCCAATACACTCACTCTTGGAATAATAAAATAGGATTTCATCCAGTCCCGAGGTTGCTTATATGAACTTTTAATCTTCAGAGCTCTGGAGTTTGCCTGTCCTTTTCAGTTGTCTGTTTGTTTAGTCCTCTTTGTAGTCGAAGAGACATTCATCAATTTTGACTTCATTTTATGGTGTGTAAAAATTTACTCTAGGCAATAACAGATAGACTTCTGCACAAGTATCAGAGGTGGGAATCATCCTAAATGCCATAAGATATATACAATATAGAAGTCCAAATTTGACCTCTTCATGTCTCTCTCTCTTTATAATAGTCATCAGAGAAAGAAAGGCAGTTCTTGGCCATGATTCATCTCATGTGAAATAGGTCACATGAATCACTTTTTAGAAATGCCTATTTCTCTGTATTGACTCAAAAGGGAGCCAAAAGGGAGTCTATTTGACTCAAAAGGGAGATACATAACTCATGCATAAATGGTTACACTGCAAATGTCCAGAGTTAGATGGGAGGAATCCCAAATGCCTTGTCTGGACTTAACGCCCTATGGATTTTTCCTCATCTGCTCCCATATCAGATGTGCATTTGTCAGCTGCTCAGGTATCTCTTGAGTATCTGCTGTAGAAGAGCTAATTTGTTCCTTCACCCTGGAGTGCCAAACACCATTCCATCAAGATGGTTGAGGGTAAGGGTACTAGGCTTGACCACAGGACATGTGAATCAGCAAGCAGGATCACAGAATGGTGAAGGCTGGGAGGCAGGCACCTCTGGGAATTGTCTAGTCAGATGCCTGGTCAGAGCAGAGACAGCTAGTGCAGGCTGCTTAGGACTGGATGCAGTCGGATTTTGAGTATATCCAAGGATGGAGACTCCACAACCCATCTCGGTGGTCATCCATTTAGTAAAGAAGTGTGGGATTTTTTTAATGTTGAAATGGTATTTCTTGTATTTCCATTTATGCCAATTGTCTCTTGTCCTTTAACTGGACACCCCTTAGAGTCTGAGTTCATCTTCCTTAGTTACCCCACTGGGTATTCATTCACAAGGGCCATATACCCCTGACCCTTCTCTTTTCCAGGCTGCACAATCCCAGCTCTCTCGACCTCTCCTCAGATGTCAGATGCACCAGTGTCTTCATCATCTTCATGGCCCTTCACTGACTTACTGCAGAAAGTTCCTGTCTGTGTTGTACTGGACCCAGCACCCTGATGTGTCTGTCTACTAGTGCTGAACAGATGGGAATAATCACCTCCCTCGACCTTCTGGTGACTCTCTTCCTAATGCAGTCCAGGGCCTGCTGGCATCATCTTGAGCTATTGCAATAGACAGGGGCAGAGGGCAGCTGCCAGCATGACTGTAATTTGCTTCCCAGGAATGCCAGAAGCATGTCTTGTAGTTAAAGAGCGGCGGCCTTTAGGCAAGCCAAGTACAGGATGCTAGGAATGATGCTTCATGGGGAAACTGTGAGTGGGAGGGCAGGTAGGGACTTCATAAGGAGAACCACTACTCTGGTACTAGCCTTCAGTTGCTAGTGAAAGAAGAGCTATATAGAATCATGGAAACATTTAGGATGGAAAAGGTATTGTGGCTGATGGGTGGGTGGTGGGGAAGGGGCAGCTGCTCTCCATACGAAAGGAGATGCCCTGATGCTGGCAGATGGGGAAAAAAAAAAAAAAAAGGAGGGAGATTATGTGTGAAGCCAGGAGAAAGGAGTAACCAGGCACAAGCAGGTGTATCTATGGGTCTAGGGTCTCCAAGGGAATGAAGCCTCTGATATTTATGCAGATGGTATTGCCTGTGGTCCTTCTTGCTCCAGAGCTGCATTTCTTAAAGCCTTTGTCATAATTGTTTGCAGGTAGATGGAGCATCCTTTTAAGCATTCCTCTAAGTATCCTGCTGGAGCCACTGTGGTTGGCAGGAGCCACCACCACCCCTGCCTGGACTGTGAAGAACACAGATTTTCCATGCTGATCTGAAGGATGCTCTCTGCTCTGGTTCTGAAGTGGTATTGTGCACAGTACAATCAAGCCTTCAGCCTCTCTTAAAGATCTTTCAGACAGATAAAGATGGAGCACTTATTCTTGTGGAGATCCTCAGCGAACAACTGCAGAATGCAAAGGATCAATGGCCATGATATAAAATAATTTCTGCTCTCTGAAACACATTCCTTTGCCCTAGGAGTGGGTCACAGTGCAAATGGGGCCAAGCTGTCCATTATCTAAAGCACGGGATTAGCCAAACAAATATAGCATACAAGTCATTTTTTGGTTGCTTTGAGGCAACACTGTAGTGGGTTGACCCTGGCCGGATGCCAGGTACCCACTATAGCCACTCTCTCACTCTCCCTCTGCAACTGGACAGAGGAGAGAAAAAAATAACAGCTAAGGATTCATGAGTTGAGATAACAGCTGGGAGAGGTCAGTTACTGATCACCATCATGGGCAAAACAGTCTAAAAGTGGGGATATTACTTTATTACTAACAGGATAAGAGCAAAAGAGTGAGAAATAAAATAATCTTAAAAACACTCTCCCCCCACCCCTCCTTCCTTCCATGCTCTACTTCCTCCCCCCAGCAGTGCAGGGCGACGGGGAATGGAGGTTATGGTCAGTTGTTTTTTTTGCCGCTGCTCAGAGAGAGGAGTCCTTCCCCTGCTCCCTTGGGGTCCCTCCCATGGGAGACAGTCCTTGATGAACCTCTCCAGCGTGAGTCCTTCCCACAGGCAACAGTTCTTCCCAAACTGGATCACTTCTCCATGGGGTGCAGTCCTTCAAGGATGAGCTGTACCGGTGTGGGTCCCCCACAGGGGCCACAAGTCCTACCCAGGAAAAACCTGCTTCAGCGTGGGCTTCCCTCTCCATGGGCTGCAGGTCTCCGGCAGGACCCTGCTCCATCTTAGGCCTCCCACTGGGTCACAGCCTCCTTCAGATATCCACCTGCTCCAGCATGGGCTCCTCCATGGGCTGCAGGTGGGTCTCTGCACCCCAATGGTCCTCCATGGGCTGCAGGGGCACAGCTGCTCCACCATGGTCTGCACCACGGGCTGCAGGGCCTCAGCTCCAGCGCCTGGAGCACCTCCTGCCCCTCCTTCTGCACTGAAATTGGTGTCTACCTTGTTCCCATGTTCTCACTCCGCTCTTCCCTGGCTGGAATTCTTTCTGCGCAATACCTCTCTATTCTTAAATATGTTAGCACAGAGGCATTACCATTACTCCTGATTGACTTGGCCTTGGCCAGCGGCAGGAGGTCCGTCCTGGAGTCAGCTGGCATTGGCTCCGCTAGGCAGGGGAAGCTTCTAGCAGTGTCTAACAGAAGCCAACCTTGTAGCCCCCACCCCTACTAGTAAAACCTACCCACAGAAATGCACAAACCCAAAAACACTCTAGCAAAACTTGTGAGGAAAGCTAGGTTTATTTTACTATGACCTTTGGCATGTTATTTAAGCTCCCCTTGGGCCTTTGTTTCTCATCTCTCCCAAAAAGATGCTGTGAAAAAGAATTGGTGGCTGGTGGGTGGCACTGGCAGACAAACTGAGGCTGCTGCTCTACAGTGATCAAACATCTTCCCAAACAGGTGGGCTCATTTCTCCTCCCTTGTGGCCTGGTAGGTGTTGGACCAAAGCGCTAGCAGAAAACAGCTCTGTATTTCATCCAGCTTTCATCTGGTTGCAGGAGGACCCAGAGAGCACCAAAGCTGGTCCCAAGACAGAGCTGAGCGTCTGGGCAGGGAAGGGCTGGGTGGTGACAATTCTCCACCTGTGGCCGAGGCTCTTGTGGGAGGGGAGCCAGCAAAACACCACCTTCATTCTTCTGCACACAAGTTATTTGCCAGTGTCCTGTTAGCTGTGAGGGGACATTTGTAGAAGGTTTATCCACCTGAATGGGTCACTGAAGATATTGCCAGGGATTTTTTTTTTTTTCTGGTTTGCCCAGTCCACTGAAAATGAGTCATTTTTTAGTGGAGATAACAAGAAGTGTTCACTGAAATAAAAAATGCCAGCATTTAGCAGAGTGGCACCCCTGCTCAGTGCATGCTGTAAAATTCCAGCAGGCAAGGAAGGCCACTTGGCTCTTGTTCAGGAACTGGCAGGAAACAACCCCCACTAAGCTGTGATTCAACACCAAGAAAAAAAAAATCACTTCCTCTGTAACAGGGAGCATGGATGAACACAGCTAGGTTAATAAAGTAGTGCTGCCCTGTCACATCTGGAAACCCAGGTTGGGGGGAAAAAAATCCAATTAGCTCTAACTGTCCTTACTATAGTGGTCCTAAATCAGTCCCTAGAGAGCTCTTGCACAAGATAACTGCATCCCGCAGTGATTGACTACATGCTCTACAACATGTGCCACAGATGGCAGCCACCAGCCATCAGAGGGGGTGCCCATTAGCAGAGAGGTAGAACTCAGCTAGAAGTGCCTCCCCCAGCCTCAGAAAGGTGGTAATGGCATGCAACAGGGCTGCTTACTAGCAGATGCCCGTCCCATGCGAAAGAGGTTGCTGGTCTAAATTAAAATGAAAAAATAAAACTAAAACAGACACTATGAAATATAATTTGCGTCCCCACTTTTTTTCTCTCCTTCACTGTAAAGCACCCAAGCAAAGGCAGGGCTTATAACCTTCCCTTATTCCAGGTGCTAAAACTTGCTGTGTGCAAAAAAAAAAAAAAAAAAAAAAAAAAAAACAAAAACCGCACCGTGAGAGCCTGGCTAGATTCTCTCAATTAGCAGGTGTTGGAAGCCTGCAGGGATGCGCAGGTTAATTAATCCTGACTTACCAGGGTTGGGGAGGTTATTAGCCTCCACCCTAAAAATGAGGAAGACAGGAGGAGCCCTCTGCGGGGGATGTAGGTAATGTTTGTGGGGACAGAGGCTGAGGCAAGAGCCAACACTGGGAAAGGGGCTTTAGGTGGGACTAATGAATTAATTTTTTCATCTCTTTTCTCTTGATAAAAGCAATGTTGGGAATAAGTGTATGTTTACACTTTAAAACAAGCCTCTAAATTCTCAATGGATACTGGGAGCTCTGGTAGCTGCTGCACAGAAACCAGATGAAATCTCTCCATGCTCTACTGTAGAAGAGCCGGATGAGTAGTTTGGTGTTGCTCACTTTTACTGCCTCTGGCCCTAAATGAGGAGTTTTAAGGCCAGTAAGGGAGTGGGGGGATATATTTGACTTGCTGTCAGGGCCTGTGAGACCAGATGCTTGACTTGCCAGCATTGCTGTGCTTGCCTGCCTGCATTTCATAGGATATAAGTTGTTTTCTAATCAAATCCAAAATGTATTGCTGGCCAAAGCCCTGTTGAGTGTGGAGGAGGAAAAGGGGAATGGAAACACCATAGGAGGGGGATGGGCCAACTGTTTAGCATAGCTACAGCTCCCGGCATCTCTGCAGTTGTTTATAGTTCAAACAACTGGCTGATGGCACCCACTTGCACCTTCTTGCTCAACAATGCCTCTATCTCCTCTTTCCCCCTCCTCCTCCTTGCCTTTGAGGTGTTGGCTCCCTGACTAACTCAGCCCTGGCTTCCTCAGGCAGCAGGGTGAGGTTTTCCAGGCAGGGCTAAGTAGTGCATCCCACCTTCCTTTCTCCTCCCAGCTCCTCCCCACAGCATCCTCTCACATGGACCCCAGGCAGCTGGGGCAGCTCAGAGTGGGTGGCAGGTGGGAGATGCCCCACCACTGTCGCAGGGCGTGTGTGCCAAACCGCAGGTCTGATGCCCGGACAGGTATCAGTGAGGGAAAGGGAAGAGGGTCACAGCCCTCCTGGGATGTGGAATTGCACTGTTTGGAAAAGAAGTAATAGATGCCTGCAGAGCTCCTGCTGCAGGCAAACACATAAAGCCTCATGCATGGAGGGAAGGACAAAACAAGAAGCACTCTGGAATAAGACTGAACAAGAATGGGCAGAAAACACAGAGGTTTGGTACGGAGTGAAGCAAGAAACGGGTAGTAATTGATTACTTCAGGGCATACCCTGAAAGAGGTCAGAAGGGTGACAGGCATAAAACCAATGCTTTTGGTGATCACCCTTGTCATCTGCTGGGCCTGGGAAAGCCCTTCTCTCCTCCAGTAGGTTAAACTCAGACCTCTCATCCATAGTGGGTTCTCAAGGCAAACTTGGGTCAAAATAAGCCCTGATGATGGTAACAATTGCCTTTGATAAAATCTTAAAAGAGAAGAAGAATAATACACTTTTTTTTCAGGCAGGTGGGGGGAACGGGGCATGACTGGTATTCCAAGGAGTATTACTAGACTCCAGGCTATCACTAGTCCCAGTTCTCAAGGAATAAATCAAGAGAGAATTCCCGGTGTTTCATTTCACGTGAGAAATGAGAATGAGCTCGTTCCCATTTCAGACAGTTTGCTGGGATGCCTCTTTCCCTCCTTCAGCATCTGTAACCAAGATCTGAAAATCACAGAGCAATGAGGGTGGTGTGCACCGCCCAAGGATAATTCCCAAATTCCTGCCCCCCACACACGCACATTCCACTGAAGGCTGATGCCTGCAGAGGTTCAATCTCGAGCCACCTAGTGGCACTTGCTAGAAATCGGTATTACAGGCAGCATCACGATGCAGAGTCCCCAAAAAAGGCGAGAGATTGAAAAAGAGATTTAGTGGCAGCTTCGAGGTCCGTCCGTGCCATGCCGCAATTGCACTGAAAGCCCCTTCTGCTTCTGGCTGGGCCGCCCTGTTCCTAGGTTCAAAGCCATGCAGCCCCCTTTCCCAAGACTCGGCTTGTGTTGCTTTGCTCCGAGCTGAAAGCATTCAAGTGTTGCAAATGCCTTAGATGAACAGAAAGCCCTCTCTCCTGCACAGAGGATGCATGGGGGACCGTGTAGAGGCCTTCATGGGGCTCTGGGTGGAGGAATTGGGGGGTGGGGGGGTGGGAAAAAAACCAAGACTTATTGTCCAGACGAAAGGAAAGGGAGATGTGTCTGGTGCCATATCCCTGCAGGCACTGCTGGAGGGAAGTGGAAGCCAGTGGAAAAGAAGCCCAGCTAGCTCCAGGGTATTCCTTAGGATGATAAACTGCCATGGAATGGACATCTGAGTCTGGAAGTAGCCAGCTTGCATTACTAAGTTCTGAAATATTGCATCATGTCAAACAAGAGCTTGACTAATTCTTTTTTTCTCCTGCTTTCTTGAGAGGGAAACCCAAATCTGCAAAAATCTCAATTAATTCCCCCTAAGATCAACAGGGCCCCCTCCTCTAAATTTGCCCTTGTGTTTTTAAGTTTCATAGCTAGGAAGCTTTAAACAATGCAAATACTTGTTTTGCATGAGAAGATGCTAAGATTCTCACAAAGTCAACGCTTGCCAAAGTCAGGGG